ACCCAGAGTCCTATCGAAAGTTGACGATGCTATATTTTGGGTGGCAGATGTACAAGCTGGCAGACACCAAGAGCGTGGCCATGGTCCCTACTTTCTTGAACGAGGAGGCGGTTCTGAATTTTGCGAGTGTGGCGACTTTGAAAGGGCGCGCTGCGCTCGAGTGCCTGTTTACGTGGGAGTACGGCGCTTGCGCGCGTATCGATCATAGGTGTGTACATGCCATTCACTCGAGTATACCGAGATCCTTTTCTTACCGTATGTCTAGTATCCAGGAGGGTGAGTTCATGGCGGGACGCATTTGGTTGATACCCTCGGGGATGCGGACTCGTCTGATTTTGTTTTTCATATGCAGTCCGAGTCTCTCAAAAGCAGATCTTCGTCAAGCTCGCAGCCACATACCGTTTCAGAAACGGCTCTACTCAAATGATGAACTATCTAGCCGTCTGGTACAAGTCGCCATTGGTTTGACCCCATCCTGTATAAAAGCTTCTCACCTTATTCATTTCATTCATATTCTAGGACAAGCGCGCGTCCCGCGTCGATATAGACGGTGATTTCTCCCAGGTCTTCCAAGAGCTTGCTGCCGTTGCCGGTCCTCCTCCACTTTGAACAAGCCCTTGAAAGAGAATTAAATCCCAGAGAATGTTGAAAACTGTATATAATGGTACAAGTCGCGATTGAATACTATTGCATTAAGAATCCCCGTCAGAGCTGGAAGCACCCCTCCGCCACATCGAGCAAGCTAATCTCGAACCCGGTGTCCCGTAGAGAGCGAATGCGGTGCGCGTAGCTGGCAACTTCCTCGGGATCGCAGTACGTCTCGATGAACTTGAGCAGCGACGGCGAATACCGCTCTCCAGGCGGCTCGGCGGCGCTCGGAAGCGCGCACCCGGGGTCGCGGGGCACCTCCAGGCGCCGCATCTCCAGCATCGTGAGGAGCGGTTCCAAAGGTCGTTTGCCCTTGAGGAAGAGGCGGACGAGGGACCTGCCGATCTCGCCGCGGCCGATCCGGTATAGTATCTGGGAGGGGATGTTGGTGTTATGGGAAAGGGTAGCCGAAATTAAGTGCGGTGTGGCCTGAAAGAGCCGCAAAACGTCATTGGAGTCGAGGATGTCTAATGTGCCAATCGATAAGTGTTCTATACTGCATCCAGAGCGATATATCAGGCCATGAAACATCCCAGGTGACCATGGAAGCCCGTCGTAATTATAAATCCAAAGCGATTTGAGATTAGGAAGAATTAAGGGAAGGAAGAGACGGTCGTAGTTCTCGAGGTCACAGAGATGCACAGTCAGATTAGTGAGATGGGGGAGCAGTATATCGGTTGTAGGGGGAGGGGAATACTTGATTCCATAGACGCGGAGATGGATCTGCTTGAGGGCGCGGCATTCCTGAAGCAGCGCCGTGCAGTGCTCCGCTGCGATGCTAGAGTCAGATCTGAAGGATTCGAGCTGATGCCAAGGAAAGATAAAGATGGAGGGCACAATGAAGGGAGTAAGGTGTAAACGCAACCTGCGAATACGAGCTGAAGGACTGAAAAAGGTGACTGGCCGCTCCCATGGTTGTGAGTTGTCCCCTGGCGTGAATGAGAAGTTGGAGACGATATGACACTCGCCGATTCCGTCGAATGAGCCACGGGGCAGAGATAATAAAGCATTGATTTGAGCAGGGTGTAAGATAATATGCAGGTACCTAAATCTGAAAGATAACGGGGCGATCAACTCTCTCACGAAATCGATATTCGGAGAGTCGTCTTCGGGTATATCTGCCAAAGTTAATGAAAGAGGCAGGGTTCCTGAGGACGAGAAATAAAGTTGAGCCACTGTGAGCTTCTGCAGCCGTGTGAGGGTGTTGTCCACCGCGAAATACATAGATCTCCATAACTCCGGCATATTTTTTACTATACGCCTCCAGGAAACACAGACTCGGCATAGAACCAGAGGCGGGTCTTCGGGTCTTGGGGTGGCACAAACATATCCCGCGGCCACATACTGGAATATCTCTTGCAGGACTTCGACAGGGAGTCGTTTATGGGGGGCCGCGGCTACTCGGTAGCGATTTAGGAGCTGTACAAGTTGGGCCCGTTCGTATAGGAGGGCCTTATAGCCAGGTGGTGGTCCATTTTTAAGAATGGTGTCTATTTGAAGAACCCGGTTGCGTCTTGCGTGAAATCGAGCCTTCACACGCCATGTTTCTTGATCGCTCAGTGGTGCATTTGTGAGGCCGACGATTTGATCTAAAGCATCAAGCAGCACGGGCTGGGCCTGGACATTCATGACGCGATGTGAAGTGGATTATCTGATGCGGTGATCAAGTCGTTGGAAGCAGGAACATAGAGGGGAACTTCAGGGTTGCTCACTTTCGCCTTTCGTTGCCAAGGGCTAATGCTACTCTCCGACGTCGTGTATGCCTGAAAAGGTCAGTCCGAATCCAATGTTAAGGGTTCGAGCTTAAAGTTTGTTCACAATCGGATGGGAAGTGTTGGTCTTCTATAGCTGGAAATAATGCACACCACTCCGAGATGGTCAAGATCCGTAACGGAGTGGCTTTGGTTTGATAATACAACGAGGAAACAAAGAAATCTTATCGCCTGACTGTCGTAAATGCTGAACGGAAGCCATGAGGCGCGGGCATGCGTATGGGGAGAGGGCAAAGAATGGCTCGGAGCTGCGGCGGACCGCGCACAATGGATCGGAGGATAAACTTCTCGACTCCGACTCCGACGTTTCTTGTGTTGGTTGCTCTCGTAACTGCTTTCACCTCGACTGTTCACGTCAGAAGCTGCTAGGAAGAGTTCAACTATTGTGCACACCTTGCTGCGAAAGAGCTGAGTTTGTATGGGACCATTCAGCAGGCTTCCAAGCAGGCGCTTCCAACTCAAGCACGCGCTTCAAATTTGTTCAAAAGCGATGACAAATGCCAGACTACGCGTTGCACCTGATTAATCAGGAATCGGAAGATATAGCTATAAATCTACCCCATAGGACACCGGGCTCTTATCTTTCTCTCATCCTCCAGATCATCGACGACTTTATAGATCAATTAAGATGCCTGAAAGGTGTGTTCTTTTCGTATTCGATGATGATCGTAGGGCTAATTGGTTTTCATTGCTCAGACATGTCAATATGTACGGAGGTTCTCCTCTAAACCGTCTATCCTGGCTTCGTCCATCGCAAATCTTTCTCAATGCTGTCGCTGCACTTCCCCAGACGCGATGGATCTTGTTCAGCGCTGGGCAGCCGTTGACCGCAACCGAGTCCGCGTCTGCAAAGCCGTTTCCAGCTTATCTGAGCACAGAAGATGTGAAACCTTTACTCGGCCCAGGGCCGTACTTTGGACAGGGGAAAGAGGCCGGCGAACTGGTCGTTGAAAAGGGCCCAGCAGAAGAGCATGGCCATGATCATTCCCCCACGGAAGGCGCGCGCCATCTCGGTGCTCGTGCGGTGTTCCTCGGTTTGCATGAAAACCAATCTGGACATAATAGCACTGCCATATCTTCATCTGAATTGAGCAACATAGAGCAAGTCGTCAAGAAGCTCGACGGAATCCCTTATTTCGCCATGGATGTCATGGACTTGAAGGAATCGCCCGAAGAATTGCTAGAGATCCTGAAAGACGCTTCGCTTGGACGGGAAGGAAAGATATTGAGCTGGTCGGAACCTAGATCGTTTCTCTCGAGTATGGATGTAATAACTGCTGGTATTTATGCTCCTGCTAGAAGCATGGTGGATTGGAACCAGCGGACTAAGGTGAGTAGTGACGGTTAGTCTATGCCTCAATATCTCTAGGACTTTTATTGATGTGATTGGATCAGTTCTGTGCTGGATGTGGTTCGCCGACCTATTCTATGTGGGGTGGTTGGAAAGTCTCCTGCACTTCGCTATTGCCCTGGGTGGATAATAACAACGGGAAACCTTGTCCGACCGCGTATGTACTTCATGCACACAACCCCTAGTGATAACTAATATATTCATACAGGAAAGGCTTACACAACTTCACCCATCCGCGAACAGACCCTGTAGTCATCATGATCGCCATCGATGAAACCGGCGATAAAATTCTTCTAGGAAGAGGAGTGAGTTGGCTGACCCCGACAATGTTCGCATCTTTGCTCAGACGTTCACGCAGAAAAGATATCCTGACAAGTTCTACTCGGCTCTTGCTGGCTTCGTTGAGCCTGGAGAAACTTTTGAGGACGCTGTTGCACGAGAAATGTGGGAGGAAGCAGGTATCCATGTCTGGAACATGACTTACCATTCTGGTCAGCCGTGGGTTAGTAATAATTATTTCCATCATTTCATAACTGGTCTCTGACATCTTTGCGTAGCCATATCCCGCAAACCTCATGGTCGGATTCTACGCTCGCGGTGATTCTACGAAACCGATACGAACCGACCTAGACAATGAACTCGTCGGTAAGAATCAAAAGTCTATGCCTCCGAATCCAACAACATCTCAGTTCCTTTCATCATAGATGCCCGGTGGTTTACAAGGGCAGAGGTCGAAGCGGTGCTCAACAATACCGCAGGGACGAAATTCGGCAACACGCCAAGGGTGTGGTCCAACGAAACCACAGAAGCCAACAACAAAGACCCCACCAAGCTTGACGCAGCAGGCCAGGCGTCAACGACCGTCGACCCTACGAAGGCCAAACCCCAGGCTGTACCGCAAGACGATGGACCCCCGTTCCGCCTTCCGCCCACGAGCGCGATTGCGGGGGTTCTGATCAGAGATTGGGTTGATAGAAAGATAGGATTTCCTGCCGAAGAGGTCGTACAGAAGGGTAATTTGTAAAAGTGTGTAATTTTTGAATACTTAGATTGCATCGTTTTGTCCAGCCGTATCTGCTGCAAAGAATATACTTACATCTTCCTTGTAACTTGAACTATTTGAGTGTGTTGATCTGGTGCATTTAACTTTCAGAATCAGGGGGTGGAACTTGGCACAGAAAACCAGGCAACAACAAAAATGATAGATGGAGTTGTCATAGACAAGTCAATTCCGGTACGGGGAATCGAACCCCGAGCTACCGCGATCGCGCAGTGACATGCATATGAAAGGCGGTAATGTTAGCCGTTACACCATACCGGATTAACAAGAATGCTACATAGTTTTATTACATACAAGTTGTCAATGGTATTACCTAAAGTCAGAACTCAGCGATGCTCCAGTTCTTTCAAGTTTCTGCTTTCTCGAGGAGTACGAAGCCTATAATCAGCTGGCTGTGGCACAATCCACACTTTATCTCAAGATTCAACCGATACCCTAGTTCTCGACCTGGATCCGGAACCTGCGTTATGAAAGGATGAGCTTTTCCGACCTTCGTTTCATCGTGGCCTCCGACGTCCTTCTTGCCTGTTTCCTCCCTCTGGCGATCCTTCTACTCTCATATAAACACTTTCCAGCATTCTCTCTATCCGTTGTGCGCGAAATCTTGACCTTCAACACACACAAGCAACGTCGACACGGGCATTTCTCACTGGAGAGAGCATATCATTCATTCTCTCAATATGCTCGCCTGTCAGCAAACGAACTGTCCAGGATGCGCTCGTCCTACGCCACGCTATCGCGATCGAATAAGAACATAGGGTACAGAATCGGATATCCCAAGAAGCTGGACCGACTACGCGACGTCACAAGTCTCAACGCGACGCTCGTGGATGGAATTGTGGAACTGGCTCTTGAAGAGTTTCCGTCGCTCAAGGACGAACCCGTTATCGACACCAACTTCGCTGACCTCGGACGCGTTCGCGAGTCCTTGAAACATTTCGTGCGAGATTGGAGTGAAGAGGGCGCAAACGAACGAAACCGGATATTTGCGCCCATAATCAACCTTTTGGCGCAAGTAGAGACATATAAAAGGCCGGAAATGAAGGTTCTTGTGCCGGGCTGTGGTCTTGGACGTTTAGCTTGGGAGATAGCGCAAATGGGTAAGTCTTTGCATGCTGTTTATCTACGTGGTAAGGCTAAACACAAAAACTAGGGTTTGATACGACGGCCAATGAGCTGTCGTTCTTTATGACACTGTCGCTACGGTTCCTCCTTTCACCAAAAACAACATCTTCCAATCAGCATATTTTGCGCCCATACGCACATTGGTTTTCCCATCAGCGCTCCAATGATTCGCTCTTCCGATGTATCAACTTCCCGGATGTTGTGCCGAGGTTCAGTGCGAACTTTCGTCTGGCTGAAGGAGACTTCTTAGATATCAAGGCGCCGTCTAGTCAGGAGACAGGGCCCAAACCTCTGTCTTGGACAAGGGATGCTAGGGATGCCCCAGGATCGCGATCTAAAGAAGGGTATGACTACATCGTAACCTTGTTCTTCATCGACACCTCTCTTGACGTTCTGACCACTTTGAATCATATCTACTCTCTCCTCCGGCCTGGGGGCACATGGATAAATCTCGGACCGCTGTTGTGGACAGGCGGTGCTCAATCGAAAGTCGAACTCTCTCTCGAAGAGGTCTTAGAGGCTGCAAAGGACATCGGATTCATCATTGAAGCCGACGACAGCGGCCTTTCTTCTGGAAAAACTGTCGAATGTGAATATACTGGGGATAAGAACGCCATGATGCGGTGGATATATAGGGCGGAGTTCTGGGTTGGCAGAAAACCGGAGCTACGCTGAAGTGGGATCTAGGGATTCTTCCCACCAATTCCTTTGTACGTCTCCTCGCACCACCTCGCACATACTCGGAGTCTGATAACGCTGTACGATTGTCTGGGAGACAAATGGCATGCACACCATTTTCGCAGCTTGCGAAGTCGCATTTCGCGCTTGAAAGAAACCGCCTCAATGCCCGCTCACACCCCGTCCATTTCATCGATAACAATTTCAGCACCCGCGACATTGAGGAAGGGAGCTTTACCCTGACTTCTTTTCCCAAATATCCTGAATGGGTCGCGGATATCAGAAATTTAGCAACGCTTGACAACATGCCCCCCTTGTCACATCACCTGGCCGCTTAAAACCACGCTGAACCCTTGCCTTTACCCTAATGTGGTTGGGTTGCTTGGAAAAAAAAACGAAGCGCAGACCTCTTTTGACTCGTGTACTCCCTTGTTTCCATTCTTTTTCCAATACAATCTCTGCCATTCGGCCATCATACCAACCGTTTGGTCTATTTGCCAGTTTTTTTAATCAGCGGTGCCAATCAGCGACTTTAATCAGAACATTCGTCATCCTTCGTCAGGTGGGTGGTTCTCCTGGGTATATAAACCCCTTCACTTCGCGTTCTCTCTTTCTCTCTAACCACGACCATCCCCCGCTTTCTTCACCCACTGCGAGGGGCATAGTCCGCCATGTGGCATCCACTGGCATCTTAGTCGCTGGCTACACTCACATTGTAAGCCAGCCCTCGTCTTCTTTATCAATGCTGACGTCCTTCACCAGCCAGCCAGCGATCGTCAAGCCTGCTTTACGCTTGCAGGCTCAGTCGACTCCGCCACCTATCCGCCTGATCCACCGACTATACTCGTACGTCTCATTCTGCCTCTGTGTGCGACTCCATGACTGATTTGAGCGCGCTAGATGACTCTCGGTCGGTGTGATCACCTTCGGCATATCAGGTCTAGCCATGAGCAGGGTCAATGACGAACTGAGGCATGACGCATCCCATCCCTTGGCGGACAGTGGCTACATCGCATCCCATTAATCGTTACGACTTTCACCCATGGGCGATGGCTTACGTGTCCCAACTACGCATTGCGGCTAAACGTTCCTCGCTCATTGCTCTGGCATGCACCATGGACAATGGGGTATTGGATCCTCATCCGTGCATTCGTGCGGACAGAGGCGAGTCCGTATCCCGTTCATGTGGCGGCCTGAACCAACTGGAGTCGGGGCCACAAGGTATTTTCGAGTCTGCGCTGTATTCATCCCAACTCACGCTCTATCTCTAGTTCCATTCCTTATATTTCGGGTGCATCAGCCATCGCACCCAAACATCGTGCAGGAGACGGGCCAATTGTTAGTGTCAATTCATCCCTTTATTCGTCTTGAGTGCTCACTCTACGTTCCAGTCCCCCTCTTGCCAGTGCGTGGGCAGTGGTATATGTATCCCATTCGTGCGTTAGTGCGGACAGCGGCATTATGTATCCCACCCACCGCTGCTCGGTAACAACTGGTAAGACCTATATTTTCTGTGTCCCTTCGAATCGTGCTCGCCTTTGTTTTGGGCCGTGGTATGACGCATCCCATCCATTCTGTGGACAGTGGCTCCTCCGCATCCCGGCCCTCCTGGAAGTGGCATGACGATTCCTGCCATGCATCCGTGTGGACGGGACGTATCCCTTTCAAAGTCTGCTGTAAATGGAGCTTGATGGGCAGTGCGGTATTCGTATCCCACCCGTCTTGCTCTAGTCCCCAGTGGAAGTATATATGGTATGTTTTATTCCTTTTCTTTCCTTCTGGTTATTGATGCGATTTTTTTATAGCTTTCGGTCGTCTTTTTTTCTTGGAACTTTTTGTATTCTTCCCATCTTCCCTTGGATTCGTGCTCTCTCTGGTCTCAACCGTGGTATGACGCATCCCATCCATACGTGGACAGTGGCTCCTCCGCATCCCGGTCCTCCTGGAAGTGGCATGACGATCCTTCCATGCATCTGCGTGGAGGGGGCGTATCCCTTTCAATGTCTGCTGTAAATGGGGCTTGATGGGCAGCGTGGTATCTCTTATCCCACCCGTCTTGCTCTAGTCCCCAGTGGAGTAGATATGGTATGTTTTATTCCTCTTCTTTTCTTCTGGTTATTGATGCGATTTTTTTTAGCTTTCGCTCTTCCTATTTTCTTTTCCGTATCCCTTAAAACCGTGCTCTCCTTTGTTCTCGACCGTGGTATGACGCATCCCATCCATACTGTGGACAGGTGCCACTCCGCATCCCGGTCATCTTCACACCCCACCCAATGCCCAAGCGCGGCGATGGGAGGTCCGACGACTGGGCATCTCGGCGAACTGTGCGCACGCGCAGGGAGCCAGCCACTGCCTTTCGTCTCGCCCCTATCGCTGCTGCGAGGACACGGCACCCTTGGAGCCGTCTTGCGGCGGTTATCTTCGGTCGAGCCGCCCTTTGGGCAGGTGCGTCAGTGCCCTGCCCGAAAAGAACTAGGAACGCGCTGCGCTGGGGACCGTCTTTGCGGTGGTCTTCAATAGTTTTGCATGCCGTTCGTCGTAGTTATTAGGAATGAAGAGCCTGAGGAGATGTGCTGCGCTGGAGGCGCCTTTATGGCGTCTTCAAAGATTTGCAAGCTGCTCCGATCGTTCTACCTGCGCGATCAGTGCATTATACTTTTCCTTTTCGTTCGCTCTGCGGGAGAACAACTCGGTATGTCCTGTCCTCTTCGTCGCTGAATTCTTTGCTCATAAGCTATCCTTCTTTAGGCACCGCTGAATCGTGAACGCTACTTAATGTGTCTCGGTAAGCCTCACCTCTCAATTTTCAAACATCTCGATAGGTTGCAAGCCCGGCAAAAGCCCGATACCTCAGCAGCCGACAATTCGAAGAAATCAAAAGTAGAATAGTCATTGCACGATTATAAACGCGGCCTACAGGGCAAAGACCAAATGTAGTGTACTTGCATTTAGTTTCTATTTTCTATACTGTTTGTATCTGTGCAGTATTGCAGTATTTGATTGTTTTTAATGCAAAACTCGCGCACCCTCGTTTGATCGCACTGTCATTCGTATGCACTTTGATTTTTGAGACCTCCGAGATTGAAAATAACTGAGAATCGCAAGAGTATTGGCGACCATTGTTGAGGTCTTTAAATTTGCTTTGCGCGATTTCTTGTTGGCCATTCACGCTGAGACCATTTTTTATGACCGAGCATGGCGGGTATGGCCGCTAGCAAGGTTATCAGAGAAAATGGTGTCCGATTTACTCACTATCATAAGCAATCCAAATATGTAGGATTAGATTGTTTATTCACCCTTGCGAAGCATGGGTCAACCTCTAAGAATTATCATTGAACCTCTTTTCATTCCCATACGGACTCCGGAGCACGAGTCACCTTTAGTGATGTAATAAAAGAACAACATGCTCGGACATGGATAATTGCACTCGACATTGAGAGTTGTTTTCGAGCGCGAGG